TGGTTTTAATTCTAATTGCTTTTAGAGGAAAATTTCCCACTTCCACAAAGTTTATAAAAACTAATGGTGTTTAAACTCTGACTAACTATATTGTCAGAGTATGGTTACTCTCCTCCTCTTTACTTTTAATTTCATATTACATATCAGCCCATTTTTAGTTTGTAATATTCATTTAGAGGGTCAAATAATTTGTATAATAAAGATTACAATTATCCACTTAATTTTCTTATTCAATATTAAATAGTCCAAACAAAACATGAAACAATTATTTACAGATAATAATCATTTATTCTGACAATACGTTGTCTGTATTTGCTCATAATCTTTTCAAGGAATTAATACATTTGGCCACAGCTAGGCTTTTCTCAAATGATTCATGAGAACATAATGATTTGCAACTTGAATTGGAGTTGACTTAACCAACACAGCTAATTTTTAAACTGGCATTGTGATTATTGAATATTAATATGAATAACTATTTCTCTGTAATTAGCATTAATGTGTGTTTATTATTTTCAAAGAATTACCCATGTGTTCATTGCCCATCTTCAACTCTGACTTCCATTAATTTCAAAACACAATAGGAAGCATGGTTAGTTTACTTTTTACAGTTTGTTACACTTCCCCTTTAGTAAGATTTGTGGCAAAAGCCAGCTTTTTTTGTGCAAAGTTTCCAAAAGAGTTTTAAGTGAAGTCCGGATGTGTAAGTTGGAAAGCTGTTTCTTTGCCTGTCTCGATGGTGGGGAGACTCAGATGGCCGGTAAAGGTAATACTTGGGAAAGCAGACACAGGGTCTTCAGGTTCAGAAGTTAACTTTAGGCTGAATTTTCCTGTTCTGGTTCTTGAAGACTGTTAAGCTAAACTTTTTTTATTCTCAGTGACCACTGGTAGTTTATTTTGCCTTGGATAAGGAAGAGGCAGTCTATAAAACCCGAAACAAATTGTCCAACTCCTCTGCCTCTCTACCTTACAATCTCCCTTCCTAAGTAATCCCACGCCTGGCACCTTTCTTTGCTATCTTTTTAATCTGCGTTTATGACAATTATTCCGTATTTCCAAACTTATTTCTCATGTTGAACTTCGCTCGATTCCATAAAAGAAAACATTTTTCTCATGATGACATTGCAAAAAGATTGTTTTAATCACTGATTCTTTATCTTCCTGTTTTTTTCCCTGTAGTTACTGAAACTGTCATAGGCAGCCTTCTCAACCTAAAATCTGTCCTCAGTTAATTTGGTACAACCCCTAAGTTATGGTAGGTTTATCAAAACTTTAATTCAAACCTGGGAGAATTTTAAGGAGGAAGCAATTGAGTCATGATTTTGATATTGTTAATCAAGAACATGCTACTTCTGCTCCTAGTAAGATCCTCATTTTCACCTGGTTTGCCTGTGTTGCTGGGTGGCCCTCAAAACTTACTGCCCGCGGTTGGCCATAGGTATCAGCTGCGTGGGGAGGTCAGGACCGGGGAAACACTGGTTCTGGTAACCTCACAGCCAGCACTCTTAAAGATGGGTAGGAGCAAAGCGCCTTTGGATTGTCCGTAAAAGCATTTACTACCACAGCGCTGTTAATGGTGTTTACTCACTACAACAAAAGATGCTTCTCCACCCATCCCTTTATTAATTGCAGATGTCTCTTTCCCCCTTGCAAACTGAGGCTGCTAGTTTTAAAATGCAGTTTTCAGTTGTCCTGAGAGAAATAATCTGTTTCTTTTCCTCTATAAATCTCTTCCTTTCATGTTGTGTCATATTAACTCTGCATATAATTTTCTTTGTACCTTAGGACAGTTCAAACAGTTCATTTTTCTATTTCACAAAATAGCCTCTCCAGTTTTCGCTTGTTGCTCTCTGGTATTTCTTAGTAGCACAGTTCACAGGCAGGGTAATACAATTAGCTCTAATTTTAAGTAGCATTTCAGGTTTTCTAATGGCATTTCTCATGTTTGTTTTCAATTTATCACATTTAATTAAAAGTAAACAAACAAAGAAATAAAAATCCTCTCCAATACAGCTGGAGTAATAATTCTTTTTTGTTACTTTTCCTTGTCCTTTTTACTATTTTCTTTGTCTTGTGGAATGCTGGGCTATGAGTGTTTTAACACTTACTGGCTTGCCTTATACATGGGCATTTTTATTATTTGATAAAATGTTAGTCATTAGTGAAATGTCAGCTCTTAAACTCTGTGGCTGTTTCACTTTAATGTATAGTATGTTGAGTATATTCAGACCATTCATATACTGTTATAACCCACTTAATTTTGCCCTGTTGGAAGGCCGTTTTTCTAACTTTTGGGGTAGACCTCATGATTATCACCTGATAGTCTCTGATCAGCAACACTGTTCGAGGGATTTTATTGCTGTGTCCAGCTTCCTAATGGGACATTGTAACATAGATAGAGCCAGATTTTTCTTGGAAGTGCATAGCAAAGGTTGGGGGCCACTGGGCACAAGTTGCTACAAAAGAAAGTTAGATATTGGGAAGAAATTATCCACCATGAAGCTGATTAAGCATTGAAACTGGGTGAACGGAGAGTTTGTGAAATTTCCATGCATTCAGAACTTGAGTGGAAATGCCTCTGAGAAATTTGATCTAACTTTGAAGTTATACCTAGCTTTGAGGTTGGCCCTGCTTTGAGCAAGAGCTTGGACCAGGTGGAGGTCCCTTCCAACCAAAATTATCCTCTGGTTCTAAGGTAGATCTGCACTGGGGACTACTACAGGCTCTCGTGAGGACATGTCCACAAAGCGTGGATGCATTAGATGACAAAGTCACTGGTCATTATTGAATTATGTGGATTTTGTCCTTTTGTGATTCTGTAACCTCTTCAGAATCACTTTAACTTTGCCTGAGCAGCTTTTCCAAATTGCCCAGTCTGTTACTGTGTTCTGCATTCCTCCTAGAATATGAACTATTAACTTCAGGGCAAGTTACATCAGTGGACTGCCACCTATGCAGCAAGATACTGCAAGGTCCTTGTGGCTTAAAGGCTGCCCCAGGGACTCCTTTCCTCCTGCAAGCATAAAAATGATTTCACGTATCTGTCATCTGGTCTATGTCCTGAGAAAACGTAGAACCACTGGAAGTCATAGGATTTGAAGCCATTTTGAGCTAATACTGTTCTACCACAGCCTACCCCCCTGCTGTGGAGTGTTGCATTTTTAAATTCATCTGTGCTTCCACTTTGGAAAGTGTGATTCAGAAACGAGCTCAGTCAAACACAGAGGGAACAGTGCAAGTGGTAGAACCACCCCATGGCTATTTGCAAGTAGCGGCAATGATGCTGCCTGACTCACCTGGGCATTTTGGCATTGGTGCTCAGGAGGGATCGTATGTGTGTTTGTGTGCATTACTGAGGAGCAGACATTCCAGGAGAGTTACGGTGTGTGCGTTGGGGAGTGCAAGGTGAGTGTCTATGATTTAACTTCTTCAGTCTATAGGTACCTCTGAAGTGGAAGGAGTTATGTGCTGGAACTGCCTCCCCATGCATAAGGTTGTTTCTGTGTAGGAGATGCACTCCCACACTATTTCATCCACCCACTTTACTTCTCTGGGAAAAATTTTTAACGCTAAATTTTCCATTCCATTGATAGGCAATGCACTGTGTAAAATACCAAGTAAATATGGTTGCTAAGAGCCTTACTTGTGTTATGTTCTATGCTAATTTGAATTGAATTAAGACTTTTGAGAACTGAGGAGGCTGGTCTTAAAATTCCATTTGCTAACATTATCTTTGCAGTGTTGGACATAATTATACTTAGTTCAAATAAATATAAAGAAAAATCATGAAAGTGGTTTTATGACAGAACAGTACTCTCCAGGTTTGAGGCATTTGTTTTGAATATCACTGCATTTCTTTTACTTCATACAATTTAATTAGGTCCAATCAAATATTGTATATGCCCAATAAAAATAATATATAGTATATATCACATTATATAACATACTATACTTTTTATACGCTCTTTCACGTCATAAATGTGAAAAGATATTCATGTATCTTTTAATACATATCTTTATCTACAAAGATACATGATATGTGTCTTTAATTACAGAAATCTTTATCTGACATGATACAAAACTGTAGATCATTTCAACTCGGAGATACAGCACAGAAAGAAGGAAAAGACCCATACTTCTTTAAGCATCCATTTAGTCACCGCTCTACACAGTTACTGATAAGGTCGCTCCGGTGCTGTGACTACTCTGTATGGTTAAGTTGAGCAGTGTCAGAAGTCTTCTCTGAGAGTTTAACAAAAATCTGGTATTCAGGGAGTTTATCTGTACAAATGTATTGCTACAGAGGCATGAGTAGATGTATTACAAAATCCCCTTTGGGTGTATCCGTGTTTGTAATGTAAAAGAATGTTCTCAAAACTAAAAGTAAAAGCACACTTGGGAAAATATTTGGATTTTTCTGATGCCATAGGCACCACCTTTCATCTAGTATAATGATGAATTTTCTGTAAACATAGAAACAATGAAGCTCCACATTGGTTCATGCTAATAAAAAATACAAATTCTGCAGCAAAACCAAACTGGAGGCCTAAATAAAAATTAAAGACATTTAAATGAAGCAAAATCAGTATATAGTGGATATTAAAAAATTATAATCAACCTTCTAAGCACAGAAAAATAATAATAGGACAACTTGAAAAGTTTTATTTATTATTTAAACAAAATTAGCGACTCGGGCATAATTGTAATGTCACAAATTAATATAAAATCACTCTGATGGTAGTTACTGAGTTCTCTCTGACTTACTGGATGTATATGCCTTTTCTTAATAGGTCTTACAAATTTAGCAAGCTGTAAAAACATGCAACTAGTCATTGTTACATGCATTGTAAAACCAGATTTAAAAAAAGACATGAGATGCAGTGACAGTCTCTTGCCCTCTACATTGGCTATTGTGTTGGTTCCAATATTTGAAATAGAAAATGCTGTCACTGAAATTTGATATAAGCAACGCACTGATATTTTTATTTTCTTTTTCACAGATTAAGATGCTTGGTAAAGCAGCTGGAGAAGGGTGACATTAATGTGGTGGATTTAAAAAAGAATATCGAATATGCTGCATCTGTGCTGGAGGCAGTTTATATTGATGAAACCAGGTAAGTCTGAGGAAAAGGAAAGGATGTTGCAAATCACATTTTAGAACTTTGGTCTTTGCATGCAATTGTAACTGATGTGAGCTGAAGGTCTCTGCACATCAGATGAATTGTATGTTGATCTTAGGTCTTTCAGTGACAAGATTAAAGCAAGTAAGATTCCAAAGGTTGGATATAACCATTGTCTGGAGAGTTTGCCTAGTTCTCATCTCCCTCACTTGTCAAAAGTCCACAGTATAAAGAATTTTTCTGAAGGATAGATTTTCTTTCCCCCACAGGCCACATACCGATAATCATGCTGTGAGGACTGTATCACTGAAAAAAATGAGCTGTTTTGGAATGAAATGCTCATGGAGATGAGTCAGAATATTATAATCTGGCCTGTAAATACATAAATTTATGAAAAGCTGTGATTTATTTTATAGTGTCTGATGCTTTGTTTATGATTATTGTTACTGGCAGTATTACTGGCAATCATCTTTAATGTGGGTTGACTCCAATTAAATTAGAAGTTCTAAGTGTTTGGCTCCTTGCAAAAATGTCAAGATATGTACTATGTTGAAGTTAATTAGCTATCTTACAGTTTTTATTTCAGTGTACTGGCCTCTAAGTTTTTTTCTAAGCATAATGATCTTGTAAAGATGTCTGCCAAAACTTCTTCAGTACTGCTGGAGCATGCAGTGTATGTCTCTGTTCCATATTACATTTAAGAGGTCTGGCGTTGTACTGATTATACTCGCTCTTTTTTTTCCAACCCCCCCGCCTGCCTTGCAAATCTGCATATTTGATATGGTGCTTAAAGTACTGCTCTAACTTTTTCCCGTTTCTTTCCTTTTGATGCATGTGATTCACACATCAAACATTTGCCACGCGGAAATTTGGAATATCTACTGTTGGGCAATAGAAAGCCTACACATCTGAAAACAGAAAAATTAAATCAATAGTAAATGAAGCTGGTATCAATGGTCCATTTTTCAGAGATTATATTACAAACTAGGTTGGCAGGATCATTTATACTAGTGTCCTGCCCTTAGAGTGCATGCATGTCCAGTTCTGTAAAAAGATGTCCTGAGCAGCCTCTCAGCCAAAATACAGTTCTTAGGGACACTTTCAAAAGTGGTGCTAGTGACCTCAAGTTAAATACATTACTTGAAAAGCATTAGGGATCTCAGTGACTTCAAAAGCACTCATGTGTCATGAAGGTGTTGACAGAATCAGTTAAATTAAGCATAACTGAGCAAACTTAGACAAACCCTCTTGTGTGACTTCCAAGGGACCTGGGCTCTGTGAGGAAACTGAATGAATTTAAATTAAATATTGTAAAATACTGGTAGTTAATATACCACTGTGGATATGTTTATATCAGTTTTGCTGACTCACTTAAGTTGATCAAGCTTCTTTTACATTGAATCAAGGGTTGATTTATGGATTTACATTAGTTTATAGCCATATTTGTAGTTAAATTGATACACGTCCTTAGGGAGACATAAAAGAAATGATCAACAAGAATTGGGCTCACACTGCCACAATTGAAGCCATAAAATTTCATTTTTCAGCAATTGTTTGCAACGTAGATCTTGTTGGCACATCTTACGTGCTCAGGAAGCTTTGGAAGATCTCAGTCCTTTCTCCCCTGCATTACGGGGTATTGTATCACCACCAGCGGTCAGAGTGTAAGCATGTATTTTGTATTAATAACCATGGGAGCTATGTCAAAGCTGCATAGGGGACAAGGACATAAACCACTGATTATTCCTTCCATACGTCTCCCAAACACTGCGGTTAGATGGGTATAGTATTCATAGCTCTTTCTCAGTAGTAGCACTGGCACTATGAAAATAATGTGAGATTTACTTAGTTTCTAAACTGAGGCCTCTGTGGAAATGAATAGTATCGTTACAATGCGGAATCCAGTCTTTCTGGTTCTGTGTGGGAGCATCGAGTCAAGTAACAGACATTTCATACAGAGAGAAAACTGGTACACCTGAAAATACATAGGCATTGGCAGCCACAGGCGCATCATTTTTACAGTAAGCAAATATTTAGATAAGGTAATTGCCCTCATAGAACTTAACAGCAGGATTATTAAACTGTCTAAATGAAAATAAACATACATAATTTTATAGTGGATTGGAAGATTTTCATAGTCCTCAGGCTATTTTCTTAATCCTAGGGGCATTATGACCTCATAAGGGTGACTATTTATTTTCAAAAAATTCTACTTCAGTATATGGATAAAGCTTTTCCGCTTCCTTAGCTTGATGCAGAACAATGTTTAATCTTATTTATTACATCTAATAATCTGATTTTTTTACTGTGCTAAGTCAGAAAGGAAGTCAGACAAACCTGAGACAAGTATCTTGCTTTGTTCTAATTTATTGAATGTTTCTATTTTCCAATGCAACCTTGAAGTTAGTTTGTAAACCTATCAAATTTTGGTAGCATTCCTTATATAAATAGCATTAAGCATATGGTTTATGTATATCTTTCCATACCGATAGCTATATTTCTGAAGTATATGTATGCAGACATATAAGCCAAATTTTCTTGCCCGTGTTACTTATGCTATAACTAATAGTTAGGAATTAAATTACTTTAATGAAACCTACTTTTCAACTTTTATTCTCTTAGTTTTAGTGTTTTGCATTTTATAACCCATGTTCTTCATTTTAGTTGATATCCTTTGACTAATGCAGTCTCCATGAAATTCAGAGTGATGCATTTTTTGAACCTGGTGGTCTTTGTGTTAAAATTATGCTAAGAAAATAAGCTGAGCCTCCGCTTCTTAGTTGGAAAATATTATGTATAGTGCTGTTTTAAATTTTGACACTTCCCCATTAAAAACAATTTGTAAATTAAGGTATTTATTGTGTGCCAGAGAAAAACTGTAGTCTTCACTGCTACTTTCATATTAAATTCTTTTGCATGGCAAACTGCAAAGATAATCACATTTTAAATAGCATGACCAGTATTCTGTAGTCTAAATCTGCAATAAAATGTTTAAAGATAAACACAGAAAGAAGGTCTCTCCAGCTTCCAGGAAGCTAATCCTTAAGGAACAGAAGCAGTGTATCATTGAGTCAAATGGCAATGGAGACTGGAATTAGCTTGGGTGGTTACATTTTGTCCTCGTTCCCACCAAAGAATACAGGTTCTTTGTTCTGCACAAAGCTACTGCTGTTGGGAGTCTGGAACTGAGTTAACTAAACTCATTAGTAGATTAGAAATAATAGTTTAGATCATACGCAGAATGGCCCATTCCTGCT